ATAGCAGCAGAGAGGTGACCGGGCTGTCACAGGGGCCTCCAAACCCACAGCCACTCGGCTGGCTCTGCATGGGGTGGTCACACATACGCTGCCTTCCCCTGCATACAGCTCCGTGCCTCAAACAGAAACAGAGAAGCTAAGCGTCCCTTTTAGTGAGACTGGAGAGGGTGAAAGACAAAAAGACCTGCCAAGTCACACCATGACCTCCTTCCACGTCCGCCACAGTCCGCCCCAAGACATGTGTTATCTAAAACCTCATCCTCACAACCCGCTGAAGTGGGAAACCAGGCCTGGAAGAGTTAAAGGAACGTGAAGCCAGAACTCCTAAACCCCAGCTCCCAGAGGAGGGCTTAGCTAAGAAACAGGAAGCAGACAAGGAGGGCAAACCCTGGGACCCCTCTGCCCCGCGAGGAAAGGCCCGAGACACCAACCCCCGTGGCAGAATCTTCTGCCCAGAGAACTAAGGAGGACAGAAACAACAGGTGCCAGTAACTTCTTAGACCAGCAGGCAGTCATGTAGCCCAGTCACCAAGACACATGACAGGCCCATGGGAGCAACTGTTCCTCCTGCGGGGCCACCACAAGCCCCCCAGCTCCCCAGCACTCCAGGCCAGCAGGGGCCTCCGGGATAGCGAACTCAGCAAACTATGCCCTGAGCCGAGGCCCTGAGGCCCTGCTGCCCGGGACTGAGGAGAAGCCAAACCTCAGTGGTGCCAGACTGAGGCACCAGGGACAGAACCCTGGGGGAGTGAGTGCACCGGCTCAGGCAGCTTCCTGGGCCAAGCCCACAGGCCTGAGTGGAAACAGGAATGCTGAGGGAATGCTCCCCAAGGGTTGATGACGTTCCCAGCGCTTGGGGACATGGCGGTGATCCTGGCACAAGCTCAGTGTGCTCGCACTGTGGGAAGAAGCTGCACGGGGTCCCAGGAGCGGCCGCTGACCCATGGGCTCCCCAGACAGACGTTGCTGGGAGTACAACACGATGGCCCAAAGGGAGACACAGGCTTCTCTGTCCTCCATGGCAGATTCCAGAGGTTCATCCAGGATCCACTGGGGAATGGGGAGGGAGCCAGCACAGTACTTTTCCACAAGCTCCTCTGGACCCCAGGAATGCTGCTCTCTAGGCCTAGCCACCCACCATTCTAAGCACTTAGGTTCCACTTCAAAAAAAAAGGCCTGAAATCGTTTTTTAACAATTTCCCATGAGAACCAGGGAGAGTCAGCAAAGAACTATCTGTATTAGCAGAGACACCCCTTTTCATTGGGAGACTGGCTCCCGGACACATCAATCAGACCATGAGCCCCCGGGCCCCTGCACTCAGTCACAGAGACCCTCCCAACAGCCTGGACACTGGCCACAGGGCATGCACTTTGCAGAGAATCCTGCTGAAGGCAACTCCCTCCGCCAACTCCCTTGGAAGGAGCGTGGCTGCTGACCCCTGCTGTCGAACCCGGCTCCACTGAGACTGCATTCCCCAGCTTCCCAGGCCCTCTTCCCACTGCCAGCTCATCCAAAGGCTAAGGAACCGGTTCCAGGTCGCTCCACAATGCTCTACTGGGCGGGCCTGAGACCAACTCCTCACCAGGGGCTGGAGGGCCAAGCTATAGTGCGGGTGACCCTGCCGGCAGCTGCATGTTACAGACTAGCAGAAGCCCGGCCCTCAAAGGAGAGATGAAGGAAACACCCAAAGGCTCTCTTCTCTCCCCTCTTGCTTCCAGCTTTCTTTTAATTAACATGTATTTTAATAACAAAAACACTCACATACTTTTAAAAAATTACCTCAACTTAAACAAAAGGACAGACACCACTTCCTCACTTGGGTGGGAGTTTTAACCTCTGCCCAGTCACCATAAGCCAAACCATCTTGCGGGTCCTGCCAGTGACCAGTGGCCTATGTGGGGATCAGGCAAGAGGAAGGTTCAACCAAGAAGGGAGACCCAGAAGCCTCACGACTCAACTCAAAGTCCAGGATGACGCCGTGCCCACCAAAATCACGTATGCTTGAGGCTCTGAGGTGCTGTAGAATCGGAACTGGGTCGAATCACAGAACAAGAGCTCAAACAGCTCTCGGGAAACCAGCAGCCATCTGGAACCCAGAAACCAAAAAGAACCTAAAAGCAACCGCATCGCTGGACTTCAAGTTGTGAAGAAGGCGCAAGGGAAGAGGCAGGTGGACTGGGAGACACAGGAATTCAACAGCCTGAGGAGCAGGATCCAAAATTTAGAGCGAGGCTGGGGTGGAATGCTGGGCCGCCTCCTCACTGCTGCACAGGAACCACGGGATGTCTGCACCTGCCAGGCCTCCGCCTCTGTGTAGCCTTTTGGTATCCCACTAAAGAGAGCCTAGGACAAGCTGTATGGCTGTGCTGGGGGTGCTGTCTCGCTTCCCTTGCCCCTTGGGGGGTGGCAGCTGAGAGATGACCCTCTAAGACACAGCCAGGACCTCCTCCAGGCCCACACCCCTGGCTTCTCCCCTCCACCCATGGCTGCTGAGCCGCCTGCAGGCGCAGATGTGGACATGATTTCACGGCAACTTCCAAGAGCTCAGTGCTGCCTCACTGGACAGGATCCCAGAGTGATCTGGGCTACACCCATCAACCAGGCACACTCCACTGTCCCAGGCATCTGTGGCCAAGTGGCCTTGGGGCACCTCCAAGTGCCAGCTGTGCCTGCCTCCTGCTGGGAGCCACTTTGAAGAAGGGCCAACGTAGACTCCCCCTTTCCGCCTCCCTCTGCACAGCAGCCCTTTTCTTATTTAATTAAAAACAGGGACCCTGCCACCCCACATCTCACAATGGCATACTGCCCTGGGCACAGGATCTCCAGCACTAAACAGCGGCAGAGTTTGAACCCCGGCGTTACTCTGGGGAACTGAACAAATGTAGCAAGCCAGCACCATGTCCTAGCACAAGTCAGGTGGCTTCCAACTCTTCCAGAAACTCAGGGACCCAGTCCAGTTGTCACTTACTGATAGACCTTTAAAAATAAATTTTGAAAATAAGTGCCCCAAATCACAGAATGGTCTCAGTTTAAGGACTTAAGCAACAAAGCTACAACAAAACTCTCACTCCCATTTACTCATCTGTGTCAACAAAGGCACTAAGCACCTAAGTCTGACCTGAGAACAGGAACAAAGGCCATGGAAACCGGTTTGCTCTCAGGCAATGACAGCCCGATCCATAGGTGCGTGGGCCAACTGCAGCAACAAGGAAAGCCCTGCCCTCCCGTGGGGTGAATGACACAGTGTCTCAATGCCCTGACCATGACATGATGCACACCTTGTCAATTTCACTTTATGTAGAATAACCTGTGAAAATTCCTAATGTATGATGCTGTTTTGATCAAGTGCATACTACTAATGGTAAACACAGCTCAATGCAGTAGAAAAATTTAACACTCAGAACTTGGTAGGTAACAAAAACTTTTTGCATTTTCTAATTTAAATGTATAAATCTTTTTGTGGAGGACAATCATGATGCAGTAAGTAATGAAATACTTTCGAACATAAAAATGCAGCCCAGGTGCAGTGGCTGACCCCTGTAATTCCAGGGTGTTGGGAGGCCAAGGAGGAAGGATCACTTGAGGTCAGGAGTTCAAGACCAGCCTGGCCAACATGGTGAAACCCCAACTCTACCAAAATACAAAAAATTGGGCCAGGCGCAGGGGCTCACGCCTGTAATCACAGCACTTTGGGTGGCCAAGGCGGGTGGATCACAAGGTCAGGAGTTCACCTGGCCAAGATGGTGAAACCCCATCTCTGTTTTGTAAAATACAAAATGTATCTATTTTGTAAAAATACAAAAAAATAAGCTGGGTACAGTGGCAGGCACCTGTAATCCCAGCTACTCGGGAGGCTAAGGCAGGAGAATCGCTTGAACCCGGGCAGAAGAGGTTGCAGTGAGCTGAGGTCCCACCACTTCACTCCAGCCTGGGCAACAGAGTGAGACTCTGTCTTAAAAAAAAAAAAAATACAAAAAATTAGTTGGGTGTGGTGGCGTGCACCTGTAATTCCAGCTACCTGGGGAACTGAGGCAGGAGAATCGCTTGAACCTGGGTGGCAAAGGTGGCAGTGAACTGAGATAGCACCACTGCATTCCAGCCTGGGCAACAGAGTGAGACTCCATCTCAAAAAAATAAATAAATAAATGCAGGCCGGGTGCAGTGGCTCACACCTGTAATTCCAGTTTGCTGGGAGGCTGAGGTGGTAGGATCACTTGAGGTTGCAAGTTCAGCCTGGCTAATATGGTGAAACGCCGTCTCTATCAAAAATACAAAATATTAGTCAGGTGTGGTGATGTGCACCTGTAATCCTGGCTACTTTGGGGGCTGAGGCAGGAGAATCACCTGAACCCAGGAGATGGAGGTTGCACTGAGCCAAGATCGAGCCACTGCACTCCAGCCTGGCCAATAGACTGAGACTGTGTCTCAAAAAAACAAGGAATAAAAATGCGTAACTTTAGGAAAAGATTGTTCATGTATTTTTTTCAAGTGAATGGTGGTGGATACTCAAATCTCAATGTTATAATCCACTGCATGCTGTTTAAAAAGTGATGCTAACAGGTGATTTTCAAACTCACAATCATCGTGTTATTAGACATGAACATTACTAGATGTACCTTCTTCAATACAGGCTTCCAGGCCACACCTCTGCACACGTACCAGTGAGGAGCTGCCACCTGCCCCTTACAGGGCACAAAGGCCTGCTGCAGGCTCTTCCCCATCCTGCACACCACCACCAAGTCCCCTACACAACATGGCACCCAAAACAGCAGTTTCCTGGCAGCTAAGAAAGGCAGTCATGGGGTTCCAACTCAAAATTCACTAAAATCCTTCTTTGTCCTACAATCGCTTCTGGAAGGCACCAAGCCCATCGATGGCTCCACATCTGTTCCAGCCTCCGCTCCAGAGAGACCAGCAGGCAGAGTCATCCCCTCTACCACCTGATCAAGTAACAGATGGATCCCAGAGGGCAGGGCCAGCGAGGCACTGGTTGCCTTACCTGGGGGCCGGTTCCATCACCATCTGGCATGGCCTCAGGGCCCAGCAGTGGCCCCTCTGCTGACACCTTCTTCAGCTTTTTGTTCTTTTTCTCCATCACTTCGGGAACTTTTCTCTTCTGTTTTGCCATCCTGCAACAAAGAAAGTAAACTGCTAAAGACAAGGAAATAAAAAGCTTAGCTCGCATCAGATTTTTAAATAAAAAGTAGGACACTCTCATTAAAAAATAATATTTCAGAAAATAAAGAAAACATATACAAGTTAAAGCAAACTCAAACCCCCAAGTTTCATCACCTATGGATAACCAATTTGACATTTTGGTGTATTTCCTGTCCATCTTTTTGTTTTTTTTTGAGTCAGAGTCTCACTCTGTCACCCAGGCTGGAGTGTGGTAGTGAGATCTTGGCTCACTGTCACCTACAGATAACCAATTTGACATTTTGGTGTATTTTCTTTCTGTCTTTTTGGGTTTTGAGTCAGGGTCTCACTCTGTCACTCAGGCTGGAGTGTGGTAGCACGATCTTGGCTCACTGCATCCTTGAAATCTCAGGCTCGGCCGGGCGCAGTGGCTCACGCCTATAATCCCAGCACTTTGGGAGGCCGAGGTGGGTGGATCACAAAGTCAAGAGATCGAGACCATCTTGGTCAACAAGGTGAAACCCCATCTCTACTAAAAATACAAAAAATTAGCTGGGCATGGTGGTGCGCGCCTGTAGTCCCAGCTACTTGGGAGGCTGAGGTGGGAGAATTGCTTGAACCCAGAAGGCGGAGGTTGTGGTGAGCCGAGATCATGCCATTGCACTCTAGTCTGGGTAACAACAGCGAAACTCCATCTCAAAAAAAAAAAAAAAAAAAAAAAAAAAAAGAAATCCCTGGCTCAAGCCATCCTCCCACCTCAGCCTCCTGAGTAGCTATGACCACAGGCATGTGCCACCATGCCTGGCTAACTTAAGTTTTTTGGAGAGACGGGGTCTTGCTAAGTTGTCCAGGCTGGTCTCAAACCCTGAGGCTTAAGCAATCTTCTGCTTCAGCCTCCCCAAGTGCTGAGACCACTGCTGTGAGCCACCATGTCCAGGCCCATTAAGTCTTTTTTCTGAGTGTTTTTCTTTAACATAGCTGCAATCATACACGGATTATATATTCTGTATTACTAACTGAACATGAACACCAAGTTTTATGTTTTTTAATTTCAAAAACATGAACATTTTCCAATAATTGCACATCTATTTTTCCAAACTATGAAAGACCAGGGGAAAGTGCAAACCATTTTTAGTGACAGTATCATAATATCCCAAAGGTGAAAATCTGTCTTCTCCCTAATGACTGAATACTTTGAATTGTTTTCACTTTCTCCTATCATGGGCTCACTCATGCTTCCCATCAACTAGGGAAGCCGTGGTGCCACACAGGTGGAGGATGCTGGCCCTGCATATCACAGGACACCTGGCCACCACAGGTGGAGGGGATCAAGGACCACTGTGAGTCCAGGATCTCCTCTGAGTGTGCAGGGAGCATGGAGCAGGCCACACATGAGGGTGGATGCGGCATTTGAGGGCATCTGGTTAGGCCTCCTTTCCCCAGAACAGCAGTATCTAGAACACCACGCCCAGCAACAGAGAAGTCCAGGCACAGCGAAACCAGGGTCCTTTGTGGGACTGTGTGATGAGACAACCAAGAGAGGCAGCTGAGGTCACCAGCCCTGGGAGCCTGTTGGAGGGGCTGGCTCCTGATGGAGGGACGCTAAGGAAGAACCTGGGGTATGGTGTGGACAGAGACTGACCAGGCTGCTTCTGGGACGGAGAAGCAGAAACCCAGCCCACACCTGCTGCTGCAGCAAAGCCTCCTGCAGGCAATGGTGGCAGGACAACAGGAGAGGGAAGAAGCCCCCCCACCCGACCCCAGGCCCCTGTCCCCACCCCCTCACCCACACTCCTCCCTACACTCCTCCCCACCCTCCAGCTCCCAGTCTCCCCTGCTGCCCCTACTAGGTGGAGTCTTAAAAGGATCTGAGAACAGAAAAGTGTCCTGCAGGGACTGCGTGGGCCTCAGAGCTGAGCACAGAGGTGCTGTGAAGCCGGGAGACAGGAGCTCAACAGCCAGTACACTCAGCACACAAGCTCCTTCCCAGACAGCCTCCAGCCCAGACATACACCCACAAAGAACCACCAAGAAAGCCAAATCCCACCCCAAAATTAAAATAGTCCAGGCATGGTAGCTCATACCTGTCATCCCAGCATTCTGGAAGGCTGAGGTAGGCAGATCACTTGCACATTTTTTAAAACACAATTTTTAAAAACATTTTTAAAAAATTGGCCATGCACGGCAATGCACACCTGTAGTCCCAGCTACTCAGGAGGTGGAGGTGGGAGGATTGCTTGAGCCCAGGAGTTGAGGCTGCAGTGAGCCATGACTGCACCACTGCACTCCAGCCTGGGCAAAAGAGTGAGACTTTGTGTTTAAAAAAAGAGCAAAGCAAGAAAGTTTATGACAGAGCAGCAGTTTTAAAAGGATGATCATCATGGAAAGAGCTTGGTAGCATGAGCCCACCTAGAGCCCAGATGTGGTCTAAACTCCACTCACTGTGAGAAAGAGTCAGGGGAGGGCAAGGAGGGCCTGGAATGCCAGGTGAGGCCAGAAACGAAGGAGAAAGTCGAAAAGCAAAGGGCACAGACTGCACAAGGGCTCCCTTCATCCTACTCGGGGCTGCCACTGGTAACAACACACTGAAAGAATATTACTATTGTGGAATCAGAAAACTCCAAGCCGCTTATTCTCTAATTGAGCCTTATCTTTAAAAAGCATCAGAAGCCAGAGTCCACAGATTTCAATTAGCTGTATAATAAGAAATCTTGGAAGAATGAGAGACTGTTGACACAGGGGCTCTGAAAAGACAAAAGACCATGCCAGCCAATTACTTTGTGAGAGAAAGAAGAAAAGTTCAGCAAATATTTACATACCCATTACTATAAAAGTTAAGTCAAATCTATTTTCATTCTGTAAGTTATCACTTAAAAACTTAATCACTATGTCTATTTGCTAAAAAGGGATAAAAGACTTTTCCATATTATGGAAAGGTTTAAGACTACTTAGGGAAAGTGACTCATAGCTTTGAGATAATGAATGTTTGTTATGGAAAATGATATTTACTTTCATTTACTGTCAACTGATTCTCAACAAGGCTGTCACGACAATTCAGTGGGAAAGACAAATGGTGCTAGGACAACTGGCTACCAACATACAAAAGAATGGATTCAGAGCCCTACCTCACACCATACACAAAATTAAGTCAAAATAGATCAAAGTTCTAAATGGAAGAGCTAAAATTATAAAATTACTAGAAGAAACATAGGAGTAAATCTTCATGACCTTGGATTATTAGGCAATGGCCTCGTATATGGCACCAAAAATAAGTAGCAAAAGACAGAGGAAAAAAGAGGTAATAAGTTGGACTACAACAAAATAAAAAACTTTTGTGCTGCAGGCTGGGTATGGAGGCTCACACCCTCCTTTGAGAGGCTGAGGTGGGAGGATCATGAGGTCAAGAGATTGAGACCATCCTGGCTAACCCAGTGAAACCCTGTCTCCACTAAAAACACAAAAAATTAGCTGGGTGTGGTGGCACGTACTTGTAATGCCAATTACTTGGGAGGCTGAGGCAGGAAAACTGCTTGAACCCAGGAGGCAGAGGTTGCAGTAAGCTGAGATCATGTCATTGCACTCCAGCCTGGGTGACAAAGCAAGACTCCATCTCAAAAAAAACAAAAACAACTTTTGTGCTGCAAAGATGCCAGCAAGAATGTAAACAGGACAGGTGCAGTGGCTCATGCTTGTAATCCCAGCACTCTGGGAGGCCGAGGCAGGAGGAGCATTTGAGGCCACACCAGTTCTGGCCACATAGCAAGTTCTAGCTCCACACCAGTCCTGGCCACATAGCGAGACCACATCTCTATAAAAAATGAAGCAGAAAGAAAACCCAAGCCGTGCACAGTGGCTCATGCCTGTAATCCCAACACTTTGGGAGTTTGAGGTGTGAGGACTGCTTGAGCCCAGGAGTTCAAGATCAACCTGAGCAACATAGTGAGACTCTGTCTCTACAAAAAAATACAAAAAATCGCCAGGTACGGTGATACACATGTAGTGCCAGCTACCTGGGAGGCTGAAGTGGGAGGATGACCTGAGCTCAGGAAGTCCAGGTTATAATAAGTCATGATCATGCCACTGAATCCCAGCCTGGGCAACAGAGTGGGATCCTGGCTAAATAAAAATAAATAAAGTTCCTCTCCACACAGTTGAGAAGACCGGTCGGCCTGGGTAGCCTGCACTTAAGATGTCAGGAAAACTCCATACTGACACTGGTTTGGAATCAGATACTGCAATGAAAAAAGTGGAGACACTGTGAAAGCAAGACGAGAAGAAAGAGAAAAAAGAGGAGCCAAAATCTAGTAGGACTGAAGAGACAGCAGAAGAGGAAGAAACTGTTTCCCCCAAAGCTAAACAAGTTAAAAAGAGAGCAGAGCCTTCTGAAGTTGACATGAATTCTCCTAAATCCAAAAAGGCAAAAAAGAAAGAGGAGCCATCTCAAGATGACATTTCTCCTAAAACCAAGAGTTTGAGAGAAATAAAAAGGAGCCCATTGTAAAGAAGGCGGTTTCTTGTAAAACCAAACAAGTGATTAAAAAATGAGGAGCCTTCTGAGGAATAAACAGATGCTCCTAAGCCCAAGAAGATGAAGAAATAAATGGAAATTAATGGAAAAATCAGAGAGAAATCCAAACTGGAGAATGGATTTCCTCATTCTAAACCTGACTGTAACCCCAGTGAAGCTGCCAGTGAAGAAAGTAACAGTGAAATAGAGCAGGAAATACCCGTGGAACAAACAGAAGGCCATTTCTCTAATTTTCCCATATCTGAAGAAACTATTAAGCTTCTCAAAGGCCCAGGAGTGACCTTCCTATTTCTTATACAAGCAAAGACATTCTGTCAAGTTCACAGCGGGAAGGACTTAACCGCACGGGTGCAGACAGGAACTGAGGAGACATTTTCCTTCACCATCCCTCTGACTGAGAAACTTCATGGGGAACTGCAGGGCAAGAAGAGAGGTGTCTCCCTCAGGGACTGGTTCTTGCACCTA